ACAACGCCTGGCCATTTTTTGGTTGCAGCCATCATTGTTGTTTGGCAGGCCTGGGCTGGGGATTCAAACCCACCACCTTTGGTGTATATGGCTGGCGCCTTAGCCACTTGAGCCACAGGTGCCGAGCCATGCTTTTTGTTTTTTAAAAAAAACCTGCCATGATTTGCAATTCTTTTTTTTGTTGTTGTTGTTGCAGTTTGGCTGGTGCCAGGTTCAAACCCACCACCCTCGGTATATGGGGCCGACAGCCCATTCACTGAGACATAGGCACTGCCCGTGATTTGAAATTCTTAAGAAAAAAAAAAGTGGTTCACACCTGTAATCCTAACACTCTGGGAGGCTGAGGCAGGTGGTGGATCCCTTGAGCCCAAGAGTTCCCCATCAGCCTGAGAAAGAGCAAAGCCCTGTCTCTAATAAAAATAGAAAACTAGCTGTGTGTTGTGGCACGTGCCTGCAGTCCCAGCTGCTTGTGAGGCTGGGGCCAGAGGATCACTTGAGCCCAAGAGTTTGAAGTTGGTATGAGCTATGACACCACGATGTTTAACCCCAGGGTGGGCAAGTGAGATTCTGTCTCACAAAAAAAAAAAAAAGACAAGTAATACCAAGTGTTGGCAAGGGTATTGAGAAATGGGAACCATTGTGTATTGCTGGTGGGAATAGAAACTTAATGTAGCAACTTTGGAAAACAAGTTGACAGTTTCTTTGAAAGTCTAGACATGAATACAACCAGCAATTCTATTCCTAGGTATCTATCCATACAAAGACTGGTATGAGAATGCTCAGAAAAGATTTATTCACAATAACCAAACACTGGAAATAATCCAGATATCCACCAATGCATGAATGTATAAACAAAACATGGTCTGTCCATACAGTGGAACATGACTCAGCCACAAAAAGAAAGGAAGTGCTGACATGTGCTACAACATGGATGAGCCTTGAAAACATGATGCTCAGTGCGACAATCAGACATAAAAGCCATATATATGACTCCATTTATATGAAATGTCCAGAACAGGCAAATCCACAGAACAGAAAGCAGATAAGTGGTTGGCAGGGGCTGGGGAGGGCCTGGATGTGGGGAGAAGTGATTGCTAAAAGCCCATGTTTGGGGAGTGGCAATGAAAATATTCTAAAACCAGATTGTGGTGATGGCTGTCCAACTTAGCAAATTTACTAAAATCTTTGAACTATACACTTAAAATGGGTGAATTTTATAATATATGCTTTGTACCTCAATACTATTGTTTTAGAAGCACTGCTGGTCTTTCATGTTTGTTTTGAATCTCTTGCCTGCCTTTAGGGATCCTCTGCTTTTGTGGCCTAACTGGCCACCACAGGACAGGGCAGGTTGATTTTGGGTCCCTAGAGATCCCAGGGAGGCTTGGGGGTGAGATGGGGGGTATGAGAACAGGGGACAGATGCTTTGAAGGAACAGCTAGAAAGACCCCATGGTGATGGGAAAAATGCTGCCTTGTGGTCAAAAGGAGACCCCCTGTCTACCAGGATAGGTGGTAGGGGTCTTTGTGGAATGTGCTGGGCCTGGGAAGGCCAACTGTGGGTGGGGGTGCAATCCTCTCCCTGGCCACAGTCCCCGTGTGGGCTGGCTTCATAGACAGAGTTCTAGGCAGGTGCAGTTAGCCCTCTGCACGAATCCACCTACCGGTGTGGCATTGGCCAGTGTCAGGATTGCGCCTCTTGGGAGCTCCTTCCCTATGGCAAGGTTTGCGACTTCCCCAGGGACCAGCACCCGGTCCCAGATGGCCAGGCCAGACATGCTTCCCACAAAAGCCTCAGAAATGTCAAACCTGCCCCCCACGCTGTCTTGCTCCTGGCCTAGGACAAGGGACCCTCCAGGGGGGATCTCATAGCCCTCCCTAAAGTGGGAACCAGTGGCTACTAGCCTGCGGTCCACGTGGAGCCAATACCTGCCCTGGATGGATGTCCAGATGACACAGACATGGTGCCACTGGCGGTCCAGCAGGAGCTGCAAAGGAAGCTCTCGGAAGGCTGGGTCCCCGATCACAAAGTGGATGGATCCAGGTACCAGGGAATCTCGGCCATACAGCACCAGCTTATTGTCATTGTCTTCTGTGGCATAGGAGATGAGGGTCCCCAGGTGGCCAGAGGCTGTTCGGATCCAGCTGCAGAAGGACAGGGCTCGTAGGGCTGTGAGGAAGCCAGGGCTGAGGGAGACCATGTTCTCAGTGGAGGAGTTCGGGAAAGTGAGCACAAGGCCTCCGCTGCACACTAGAACAAAGGGAGAGTCAGCCCAGCCGTGAGGCCTAAGTTGTTGGCTGCAAAGCTGAGCCTATTCTCTGTTCTGCTGGGAGTCTTTACACATTTCCTGGTGCTGCTATAAAAAAAAATTATTACTTGGCCAGGTGTGGTGGCTCACACCTGTAATCCCAGCACTCTGGGAGGCCAAGATAGGTAGTAACCTGAGCTTAGGAGTTTGAGACCAGCCAGAGCAAAAGTGAGACCTCTGCCTCTACTAAAAATAGAAAAACTAGCCAGGTGTTGTGGTGGGCACCTGTAGTCCCAGCTACTGGGGAGGCTGAGGCAGGAGGATTGCTTAAGCCCAAGAGTTTGGGATTGCTATATGACAGTGAGACTCTGTCTCAAAAAAAAAATTGTTACAAACTTAGTAACTTAAAACAACACACGTGTATTACTTTACATTTCTGAAAGTCTGAAGTCAAATCAAGGTGTGGCAGGGCTGGTTCCTGCTAGAGTCTCAGGAGGTAAAGCTGGCCCCTGCCCCTGGCAGCGTCTCATCGTGCACACATTCCTTGGTTTATGATCCCTTCCTGGCCTCCCTCCAACCTCTGCCCTGCTCTTGTATCTTCTCTGGCTATCGCTCCTACCTACCTATCATAAGGACCCCTGAGATATCCTAAGGCCCCACCCAGGACGAGTCCCCTGCCTCAAGGTCCCTAACTTAATCACCTCCACAGAGTCCCTTTTTCCATGGAAGGTACCTGGGACTGTTGCCAGCCACTGTTAACCGGCACAGACATTTCATGCAGGATGTTGCTGGTCAGGCCTTAACAAGGCAGATGAGCCCATGTGCTGTCATCTAGAGATTGTTTATTCACTTCCAAGGCCTACTGTCATAGATAAGTTGGGGAACTGGATTCCATGGTACCAGGCAAGGACTTAAGGCACTCTGTGCACTCAGTGAAGTGAGTGTTGACTAACTGTAAATTTAGTCTAGAATAAAAATGCTTTGAGATGTAACCACTTTAAGACAGGAAGGTAATTGAGTAACCTTTTAACCAAGGAGGAGGAGGAATCTGTTTAACATACACTATGATGAGTAACAACATTACTGATATTTACTTTTACTGTGAGAATGAAAGTAACAAGGGAAACAGGAGGACAGAACAGTTCTTTGGGGGAGAAATCCTTGCTGTTATCTGAAATTGCTGGTTTTCCTGTAAATAAAAGTGAAACTGTTGACCTCTCATCTGTTTTTCCATTAATTGGCGTGGGTGACAGGGGAATGGACTCCTTGGTCTGGAGACTCAGATGTCCAGCAACAGATGCAGGGGAAGCTCTTGGAAGGCTAAGTCTCCAATCACGGAAGGGACTGGCCCAGGTGAAAGGACCTATAGATGGGCTACCACCTGATGATTGGACAAGGCTGGGCCAGTCCCTTCCTGTTGGGCAGGGTGTGTGGAGGGTGACACCGGGGCTCTCTCCATGCAGCCCTGGGAAAGAAGCCTTTTCAGAGGGGACTGGTTTAAGGCAGAGCAATGGGGGCAGGGCAGACCCATGGTACTTACTCTCTCCAGGTCTCTTGGGGATCCATGCCTGCTGAGGAGGGTTCCTCGGGGCTGCGGCAGTCCCATCAGGTACCTGATGGCTGCCTGAAGCTGGGGGCTCCCTTGTCTCCTGAGGATGGGCAGCTGAGTCCTGAGCAGGGCTCCTGTGCTTTGATGCAGCTCTGAGTGCCTGCCAGCCCCTCTGCAGCTTCAGGGAACTCAAGTGAGGCTGCTCCGATGGAGCTGGGGTTGGGGCCTGGGCTGGGGCTGGGGCTGGCACCAGAGCTGCAGTCCTAAGGTTGACTACCTGCAGCTGGTTCTCAAGAGCAGCCAGCCTGGCACCCTGGTTGTGGACTTGGTGTGTCAGGTGTGCCAGCATGTCCTGCAGGGCCTGCCTGTCCAGGGTTGCTCCTGAGGTGACGTCCTTCTGCACTATTCTCTCCTGGGCCCACAGCTGACTCTTCTCACTCAGGGCGAGGTCCAAGGCCTGCAGCCTTGCCTCTGTCTTCCGGCTTCTGCGCTGGATCTTCCTTACCCAGGCCTTGAGGTGGGCCAGCTCACGCTGCACAGCAGCCTTCGTCTGGTTGATCACCAAGGCCATGGCCTGGCTCTCTTCTGCCAGGCTCTGGAACCGGATGTCAATGTTATAGGAAACATTGTAGTTGTTGGCGATGCCTTGCAGGTGTGTTAAGGTCACCTCTTGGAATCTCCGAAACTGTAAAGAGGACATGCAGCATTTGGGGGGCGTAGGTGCGGGCTGGGGCCAGGGAGGATGTGGGAACAAGAGTGTCCTGCGCATGCTCTTGCAGCACTTACTGTGTCCTGGCTCATGGTCAGCACCTTGTGTGGGTGGAGTGATTTTCTCCTCACCACTTTACTATGAGATGTAGGTGGATTTCTGCAGCCAGCCCCATAGGGCCCAATGCAGAGAGGCTGGTGAGTGACCCCAGGTCACACAAGTGCACTGTATGGATGTGGACTCCAGGGCCACAGCCTGGGCTTCCCTCACTCCCCATACTCTTGGTGACCACCAGCTGGTCACTTTGCCATGATGACCAGGTCCTGCCTGAGTATGGAGGGCAGCAGGAGAGGCCTTGTGAGGACCTGATGGGGCTTAGACAGAAAGTGCTGGGTGCAGACCTGACATGCAAAGCTCAGGGACTCTCTATGGACCCCACACAAGAGTCTCAGGGGGCTTGGCACCCGTAACACAGTGGTTATGGTGCCAGCCACACACACCGAGGGTGGTGGATTTGAACTTGGCCTGGGCCGGCTAAGCAACTGCAACTAAAAAATAGCCAGGCATTGTGGTAGGCACCTGTGGTCCCAGCTACTTGGGAGGTTGGGACAAGAGAATCGCTTAAGCCCAAGAGTTGGAGGTTGCTGTGAGCCATGATGCCATAGCACTCTACTGAGGGTGACATAGTGAAACCCTGTCTCAAAAAAAAAAAAAAAAAAAGAGTCTCAGGGGTATCCACAGCCTCTGCTTCAAGGCTGGCCTGTGAACTCACATCGCCTGGGCCCATTGACACTGCCTGCCTTCCCCCCCAGTCCCCAGCAACCCTAGCTATGCTCTTTGGGCCATGTAGATCCCTGCCTACCCTCCGGGCCCCACTTAACTCTCACATGCCATCTGGTTTATCTTCAGAGCAGAGCCCAGGAAACGTCTTCACTAATTTCCAACTATGGTTAGAAATAGGTGAAAATATGAGCTGATAGAAACATTAAAAATGCCACGTTCGTTTCCACGAAGCACTGCTGTTTACTGCTAAGTTTATGTAACATCTGTCCTTCATCTGTTGCACCAACTTAAAAACACCAATTGTCCCCAATTGTGGGCATACTTGCCTGCTCTTCGAGTCTACGCAGCCTCTCAAACAAGGGTTTCCTTGGCCCTGCTGGGTTGGCTTCCTGTGACAAAGCCCCATGTAGATAAACAAGCACAAAAATAAGGAAGAAAGAGAGAGTTTTCCTCCCTGAACAGCCCATCCTGAGAGATGGCAAGGCCATGCTGTCTCCTGCCTGAATGCAGGAGAAGTTGGCGTCAGCCACACGTCTGTCTCATCCCACGCTTCTCCCAACTCTCCAGCCACTGACTTTCCTTCATGGACTCTGGCTGGATGTCAGGTACTTATTGCCACCTCCATGGCTGAGAATTGGAGGTTCCCAAGGAGACAAGTTTAAAACAGATGCAAACATTATCTCTGGAGAATCGTTCTACAGGGTACAAGCCCTTGTCTAGTTGGCTCGGAGGCAGACAAGGGTGATGGCTTTAACAGGAGCACATGGATTCATGTTCCCTAGAAGCTGAAGCAGAACAAGGAACCTGACTGGGGCTGGGAAGTCAACAGAGCTAGGTTTGTGTGGCTCCCAGCACTCAGGTCTGCTGGGAGCCACAGCCTGTGGCCTTCTCCCTCTCCCTCTCTCTCTGAAAGGCAATGGAAAGGTGACTGGGAGCCAGCTTAATTTATTAATTTTTTTGCATACAGGTTTTTTTCTTTAGACAGAGTCTCACTGTGTCACCCTCGGTAGAGTGTTGTGGCATCATCGCTCGCAGCAACCTTAAACTCTTGGGCTCAAGCCATTCTCTTGCTTCAGCCTCCCAAGTAGCTAGACTACAGTTGCCTGCCACAACACCCAGCTATTTTTTTTTTTTTTTTGATGTAGTTGTCATTGTTGTTTAGCAGGCCTGGGCTGGGTTCCAACCCACCAGCCCTGGTGTTTGTGGCCTGTGCCTTAGCCACTGAACTATGGGTGCCAAGCCTGGGTACAAGTTTTATAGTGAGTCAAATGATGCATCCCAAAAAGATATGTCTAAGTCCTAACCCCAGTACCTGTGAACAAAGGGTCTTTGCAGGTCTAATTTGAGGATTTCAAGATGACATCATCCTGCATTATCCAGGCGGGCCCTCAATCCAGTGACAAATATCCTTAGAAGAGACAGAAGAAGAGATGGAAAGAAGGCCAAGCAAAGACAGAGTGATGCTGCCACAGGGAACCTGTGGAGCCCCCAGACGCTGAAAGACACAAAGTAGGACATGTCCCAAGAGCCCCCAGAGGGAATGCAACACCTTCTCTTAGACTGCAGAACTGTGATAGCAAAAATTGCTGTTTGTTTTAAGCCATGCATTTGTGGTACTGAGATAATCTACAAAGGGTGCCCATCATTCCCAAGACTGAGTGGCCCCAAGCTTCATCTCATTAAGTGTCAGAACACCACAGACGTAGAAAAGATTCTTCAAACACCCAGAGAAACCCCAGTCATCTGGATGGGACTGAGACTTTCCCAGAGAGCTGATGGCCCTCCTGACAGCAGTACCAGTGTCAAAGACAGAGGAGCAAACCTTAGTGATGGAAAATGATTTCTGTTTAAAATTGTGCATCTTGCTCCAGTGCTAATTGACCAGAAACAAATAAAGACACTTTATTTTTTTAAATTTTTTTTATTTTTAATACAGTATGTCATTTTGTATTCTTTTTCTTTTAAATGTTTGGTGTCTTCATTTTTTTTTATTTTTTAATTTCAGGCTCCTTTATTCCATCAATATTTATAGAACATCAACTATAGGCAAAACATTGACATAATCATTGACATTGGGTCAAATATATCAATTTTATGAGGAAACAAAAGCATTAACTACAAATCAATTATGAGATAAGTGTACTCATTACCACCACTCCTAGTAAAGCTGAAGATCCTAGCTAGTACAGTTATGATAACTTAAAAATCCCAATGGTTTGTAAAAAAAATACAAATTTCATTACTGCCGAGTTACCAAGTTACTTGCAAGTTACCAAAAACAGTAGAAAAATTCAGCAATGTAGCTAACTTCAAAATAACTATACAAAATCAATTATATTCCTATGTAAAAAAGAATTACAAAATAATATTAGAAAAAGAAAGATAGCATTGTATCAGCAACCAAAATAGAAAGTACCTATCAATACAGCTTTAACAAGAGCTGTGCAATTTTTTTTGAATACATAATCATTTACTACTTGTTACAGAATACAGAAGACAAAATATAAATAGCAAACAAATTCTTTTTCCTTATTATGTTTTTACCGAACTCTAAAAAAGATAGATGACTAATATATATAAATAAAAGTAAAAAGTAATTTCTAAAAAAAAAAGCAGATCACGCCAAGTCTTACAGACAATAGAAATAGAAATACTTCAAAATCATTCCACTTAGTCTGGATGCCCCTGATAGTGATAGTAAAATTAGTAGAAAAAAAATATTATTATAAAGGGGAAATTACAAACATATTTCACTGATGAATAAGGATGCAATATGATAAATAACATATTGACATGCTGAATTAAAAATTTATGTTTAAGTAATATACGTTGATCAAAATTAAATCCAGTTTGCGTGAGAATTAGTCATTATTATTATTATTTTTTACCCACACCCCCTCACTCCTTCTTTGTCTGAT